TAGAAACCCCAAGCCCTGAACCCAAGACCCCTTTATAAACGACATGGGAGCTAAGGAGAAGCTTTCTGGCGCTATTGAAGGTAAGCTCTGGGCCGAGTGGGACCTCGAAGGCGGAGTTTGGGCTCCTAGGGGGTTTAGGGTTTAGGGTTTAGGGTTTAGGGTTTAGGGGTTTATGGTTTAGGGTTGAGGGCACGACAGCCACGCTCTTGGTAGAAGCAACATCAGGCAATCTGAACATATGGCTGTGTCAGGTCGGATGGAGTATAGGACTCCCTGGAAACTGAACCCCTTTCATTATGAGTTTGTGATGAGCAGGCCAGCAACCGCAACCTCATTCCAATTATCCAGGCCCCTACATGGGTCTTAAGCCCTGCAAACCGAACCCAATGAAATCAAACCTCGCGGCCTGCGCCCCAAAACCCAAAAACCAAACCCCATCAGGGTTTAGGATTGCAAGCGCAGTTGATGGACAAGCTCTCACATCATCCAAAGTTAGGAGTATACCCTAGCTTGTGTCTTTGACGTTACCCAGAGCCTGGGTTAGCCCTATACCCTACACTCTCAACCCCCACATCCCAAATTTCAAGATCCATACTCTGAAACCCTAAACGCTAAACCTGGAACTGGTAGGTCCCATGGCTTCGTTTGTTCACGGCAATGCAGGTCTTTGTCCATCAGATGCAGCCCTATGAACTCGCATGAACAGCCCCAAGGCACTTCAGGACCTTCATATAGCCATGACAATCTATGTTATGCGCCTTTCACATGACCCGTCACAAAAGCCATCCTTAAAACACCTTTCATACAACTCCCAATGCAACGCAAACAGACCCAGAGCAAAAGCCCCGGAACTGCCAGCTGGACCCCTGGTACCCTAGACCCGAAATCAGGCCTGAAGCTCTAAACTCAAACCCTAAACCCCAAACCCTAATCCATAAACCCTCAACCCTAAACCCTCAACCCTAAACCCTAAACCCTAAACCCTGAACCGTAAGCGCTAAACCCAAAGCCCAAAGCAGGGACCGGACAGATCAGTCGGGAAGCCTTCGAAGATCCTTCCAGGGGAATGCTTCAGCGAGGAGCTGAGCCTACATTTAGGGTTTAAGGGGGTTTAGGGTTTAGGTTTAGGGGTTTAGGGTTTAGGGTTTAGGGTTTAGGGCTTACCATGGTTTTGAGGGCTTTAGGGAGGTTTAGGGGTCTAGGGGTTTAAGGTTCAGGGTTTAGGGTTTTGTGTGGTTTAGGCGTTGGGGGTTCAGGGTTTAGGACTAAGTGCTTCAAGTCTTATGCAAGGGTTGATAAGGATTAGGGCTTTCGGGGTGTTTGGTGAACGTTTTTGCCATCATCGCCTCCTCCGAATCAGTGAAGCAGACAGCAGCAGGTGGGTCGTATCCAGCTGTCCTTCCCTAAACCCTAAACTTAACCCTAAACCCGAAATCCGAAACCCTCAACTCTAAACCCGATGCCCTAAACCCTANNCTAAACCCTAAACCCTAAATTATCGTGGGAATGTGCTGGGGTTCCTAATGATGATACCCAAGAGAGCAACCCAGATGCTCCAAAGCGCCTCAATCAAGGAATGTACTTCGAATCATATTAGGGTCCCTATTAAAACCCTAAACCCTGAACCTTAA